CAAGATTTCGCTTTGACTGCTAGGCGCTTGGTTGGGTGATGACCCTTCCATGGCAAAAGGTTGTTGGTTGAAGGTAGGTTACGCATGTTCTTGCGTGTTCGCCAGCCAAGCACGGCGCCCCCCCACTCGGTTGCAAAAGTGTCTGGTTGCCCCTCAACCCCTCGTTGAAGGCGCCCCCTTGTGTCGCGTTATTGTGCAAACTTCAATCCTTCCTCGGCCCCCCAAACAGGGCCTCGCACCACGCTCGTCAGCCCGCAAGACCAGCGGCCACATGGCTACACTAGGCAGGGCGGCAACAGCTTGCCCCTTCAGTTTCCTCAGCGGAACGGCCCCGCCTTCAGCTAGTTTTTGTTTCGACGCAAGGGGGGTTAACACACATACTCTCATACTGGCCATAGAAAAGACCTCGCTGCGTCTCCAAGACATGCACAGGCGCGCTCTAGAGTCGATTGCTGGGGCTGGAGTGCGTTGTGGTGACGGGTCCCCAGCGCTCTGATTCTACGGCTGTGAAAGAAGTCCGTCGTCGAGTAGACGGCGGCCGCAGTCCACTGGATCTCCGCCAAGGAGACCGGGAACAGGGCCGCTGGGCGTCGGGAGCTCCTCAGGGCCCCCCCACCTTCCCGGCCCGCCCCAGGTCGGCTGGCCGTTTCTGGTCCGTACCTGGCTTCCAGGACACGCTTTCGCACATTGGCCATGTGTGTCAGGCATGTGTGGTCCTGATTCAGTGGCCATCCCAACGCAGCCTCCAGCGGGTCACGTGGGGTGATGTTGTCTGGGTTGGTCACCCGGCATTCCCAGAAAACATGAAACGCCGACCCTGGTTGACCCTCGCAGAAAGGGCAGGCTTCAGCGCCGATGCCCCTATTCCGGAACAGCCGCAGCGGGCTGACGAAAGCCCCTGTCAGGATGGCCGGTATGTGTGCAGATGTGCCTCGGTGACACAGTTTCTGTGCAAGCTTTAGCCTGCTGCGGTCGTAGGGAATCCGGTTAAGACCCCTGGTTTCGCGCCTGTCCGTTTCCAGAAACCCCTGCCACATGCTGCTGCGCCAGGCTTCCCTCAAAACGTGACAAAGCCGGTCCGCCTCAGGGGGCCTGAGCACTTGCCTGCGCAGGCAGACTTCCCCTTGGCTTTCGTGGCTCCAGGAGTGGGGGCCATTTTCAGCGAAGCCGAGCTCCCTCATGAAAACTCGAATTCTTTCCGTGACCCCCCCCTTACGTCCCCAATCTCCAGGGGTTTTGTTGAAGGTTTTCACGTGCCTCCACACCGCTGTGACCGCATTGAGGCCACAAGTGAACCCCACATCAAGACCATGCCCTAAAATGAGCTTGACCAAAAAGGGGGAAGCTTTCACATGCCCGAAACCTGCCTGCCTGAGCCTAGTTTCAAGCGGGTCAAGAAGGTACCTTGGTGGACCGCGGATCAGCCATCCATAGGCCGCCTTAGCCGTGGCCGTGCTAGTGACCAGAAACTGCCTAACGCCTGCCATGACTGGGGTCATCCCGGCCCGCTTCGCCGTGGCCTCAGCAGCCGTGAAACGCTTCTGCTCCTTAGTGGATGGCCCTGCTCCTGCTGCCCCGAAGGTGCACCCGAGCGCCACCATTTGTTCCTGCACATGGGGTTGAAGGTCGGGGTTATCAGCTAACGCCTGTCGCTGCCTGGCCGTTCGTCCGAATCTTTGCACGGCTTTCTTTGAGCCCCAAAAACATGGAATGCTCCTTCCACCCCTGCCACAAGCTCCTGAGACCTTCTGGGGTTGGTGTCGCGAATGACCTGTCGTCGACATATACTACCTGGGTGGCACGGGGGTGCTGGCGCCGGAGCACCCTCACCGCCGTGCTAAGCAGTATGTTAAGCATTCATGGGCTGAGGCTATCTCCTTGCGGTATGGACGCATCCACCCTTTGTATCTCTTGCAGAGTCTGCTGGCCCCAGAGGAGGATCCGTTTCTGTCTGCCCCAAATGCCTAAAACTCCAAGCGCCAGGCACTGAGGGAAACCTCTCCACCTCAACAGTTCAACAGCTTTGTGTGCCCTTACCCGATCGAACGCCTGGGCCAGATCGAGCGAAGCAAGGTATTGCCCGTTTGCACTGGCTTCTGCCAGGGGGACGATCGCCATTTGAGCGTCCCTTTTCTTCATGCAACCATACTGCTCTGACTGAAGCTGAGCCCGGTACCATGCCTGCGCCTCAGTGCTTTGCAGCTTTGCGGAGATGTAAATCCTCCACATGACCGACATGACTGAAATTGGACGGAGTCTCGAGACAGGGAGTGCCTGGTCAGCGGTCCTACAGGATCCTGGCTTAGGCACATACGCCTGTCTTATCTCTGCCCAAACTTCCGGAAGACAAGTAAGCGTGTCCAGTTGCCTAAAGAACCAAGTCACGTCCTCCCAAAGGCATGCAGGCCACACTGCCACCTCAGTTCCCGCCCAGCCATCGGGCCCTGCCGCTTTGCCCTGCTGTTTCTTCGCTGCCCGCCTAAGGGCCTCAGTTTGCACAGGTGGCCACACTTGCTGTGGCTGTCTGTTTTCCTGGAGCCGTTCCAAGTACTCTGTCATGGAAAGGGTCCCTTCCTCGTCTTCTCTGTCCCATATCCTCCTCCAGTACTGCTTGACCTTCTCCAGGGCCTCCGTGGCTGTACCTGAGCATGGGCCCGTGGGGTCCTCCTCGTCATCGTAGACGACGTGAGAAGGGGCCCCGGGTTTGCTTCGGAGCCAGCGGAACGCCTCTTTGTCGGAAGACCTGAGTTTAGCCCTCCAGTGCTGAAGTCTTAGTTGCTTATCCTGCCGCTCCAGCACGTTTACCTTCTGTTCCACCTCCTGTGCTGCGAGTCCTTCGCGCCAGTGTTGGCATCTCAGAACTTTGTTCTTGAGCACTTGCATCTGCTGGCCTTGTTGACCATGCGTTTGCCTGAACTCGAGCTCCCGCATGCGACCCCAGAGCTTCCTGAGCACGCGCAAGGTGTTCGGAGCGCCTTGGTCGTAAGGCTGTCTGAGGAGGGGGGTTTTTTGTCTGAACACTTGGCTCCCCTTGAACCTTTTGGGTCGTTTTTGGCATCTCATTTGCAGGGCAGACTGACCGGCCGTCCTCCTAAGGAAAAGCTCAAGGTGGGAGTTGACCGTTTTCCACAGAAAGTCCGCCTTTTCCTGGTCCGTCCGTCCGTTCTCATTGGCCATACGCAGCACGCGTTCCACAGTGCTCTGCCAAGCACTGGCCTGAGCTGTCCATGCCGCTTCCAGTTCCTGAGTCCACTGCCCGTAGTCCTCCGGATCCTTGGGGAGGTACATGTTACAGGGTACAATTTCCATGCCGTTGTCCCTTTCCTGGTCTCCCGTCAGAACCTTAGCCGTGAAAGCCCTGTGGTCACTCCATTTCTCCGGCCGCGCTTTGACCTCCCTTACTCTACCTGGGTCCGACACAAAATAGTCGATGACTCGAGTTTGGTCCCATCGACTTCCCAAGCCGTCGTTTGCATGCATCACCTGGGCTCCCTGGGTTTGCAAAGCCGCAACGAGCGCAGATTCGCCAGGCTCTTCGTTCCAGTCCCCTATGGCTACATACGGGATCCGGGCCTGTGCCTGGGTCATCTCAAAAACCTCCTGGAGGAATTCCGGCCTTTCTCGCGTGTGAGCAACATACACGTTGAGTATCGCCAGGCAGGGGGCCGACTTGCACCTGCGTGCGTTGTCCTCCCTGTTGCTGCAAAAAACAGGACCCCGCACTTTTCAGCCCTTTTTTGACCAAGGTGACCGCGCCGCCTACCCTAGCATCCTCTTGGTTTCTGGCGCAACTGCGCCCCAGCGTGTAGTATGGGGTCCACCCCTTTTTGGAGGCCGCCCTAGCAAACGTGTTCATGTGGTCCAACCCCATGTTCACTTCCTGCAAGAGGACGACATCCAGTTTCATGTCTTCTGTGTCAGCTAGAGTTCTCCAGGCGTCTGGCTCTCCTCCTGTGTTGATGGAGAGGATCTGCAGCTCCTGTTTGGCTGGGTGGTTCTTCTGGGCTCTTGGACCTGGGTTAGGCTCCACGTTTTCCTCGGTGAGGTCGCGGAACCAGGTGGTCTTAGTCAGGGGGGGCAAGGGTTCGCGCGGTTGTCCTCTAGCTGGGACCTTCAGACCCTCCTCCATGTCTCTGACCGCCCTTTTTCCCCATCCCCACGCTCGGACTACCATCTTGACCTTAACTTCTCTGATCCCATGGTGTGTCGGTCACCGGGACCAGTGGCGCCGCCGTGGCTATGGACTGTGCTATGGCATCGGGCAATGTGCTTGTTTCGTCTATTGTACAGCTGTTTCCTGCAAGGGACCCTGACGTTGTAGTGACACAGGTTGCAGTGCCAGCTGTGCGTTTCAGCCATCATGGTGCCTTTGATGCTGGTTTTCGTGCGGAGCCGCTTCCTGGGGCCAGGCTCCATATCCTCTTCCTCGGCCTTTCGGTGCCTGACGGTGGCCTTTTCATTGGCCTGCTCCGGTTTCGGCTCCATTTTTGTGCTCTCCTCCATTCGCCGTTCCAGCAGCCGGGTCAACATATTGCTGGCCACGAGGCATCTCTGGACAGCGGCTCTGTGCATGTTATCTATGTCTTCCTCTTGGGCCATGCTGACGGCCCTTTCCATCATGTCAGCCGTGGCGTTCCACGTGCCTGGGCTGGAACCCACCTCCATGTCCCTGCCCGTCTTGTGTCCTGGTGTTGGCGCGTGTGACCAGACCTTTGCCTCATTTTTGGGGCTGGCCGATGCACTCCCCTTGAGGGTGTCATTTGTTTCCTTTGCCATGCTCGTTTTTCTCCCTTTGTTCCCTCCAAGACCGCAGGCTGAGGCGCTGGCTAAGCTCGGCGCCGGTAAGCTAAGGCTCGGCGCCGGTGGACTAAGGCTCTGCGCCGGGAAGCTAAGGCTCGGTGCCGGTAAGCTAAGGCAGTCAGAGCCTGCGCCGCGAAAGGTTCCTCTCGGCTGCGTCTGGGTTGCCTGTAGCCAGGAGGGGTATTTATTTTAGGAATTTTTCCGTTTTTTTTTGGATTTTTTTTCTTGGCTTCTTGGCTTCTTGGCTTCTTGGCTTCTTGGCTTCTTGGCTTCTTGGCTTCTCGGCTTCTTGGCTTCTTGGCTTTTCGGCTTCTTGGCTTCTTGGCTTCTCGGCTTCTCGGCTTCTTGGGCTTCTTGGCTTCTTGGCTTCTTGGCTTCTTGGCTTCTTGGCTTCTTGGCTTCTTGGCTTTTCGGCTTTTCGGCTTCTTGGCTTCTCGGCTTCTGGGCTTCTAGGCTTTTCGGCTTTTTGCTGGTTTATGCGGCTTTTGGTGGCTTTTTGGCTTTTCGCATCCTCTGCATTCCCAGTTCCTCTTCGGCAGGTGGCGTTTTTCCGACATCATGGGGGCTGCCGCCCCCCCCAACCCCCCCGCTACCCCCCGCTACTTTTTAGACTTTTTGCAGAGATTTAATTGCACCCCTATTCAAATCATCACTTCTGCAAACAACATCGTGGGGGGGGCTGCCGCCCCCGCCAACCCCCCCGCTACTTTTATATTTTTTTTACAGGGATTGACATGCCCTCCTGCTTGAATCATCATTTCTTTGACCCCGTCACACGATTTGTGGGTGATGCTAGGGATGTTGGTGGGACATGCGGGGTATATTTCGCGAGAACATGCTGTAAAATACGACACTTTACTGGCCCGGCAGAGATTGAATTGCACCCCTGTTTGAATCATCACTTTTTCGAGCGTCCAATTTCGCGAGAAAATGCTGCAAAATACGACATTTTAGGTAATCTGTGTAGTCCGTGTATGTCTGTATGTATGCATTTCTTCGAACATCATAGGGGAAGCCACCCCCGCCAACCCTCCCGCTGCCTTTTAAATTCTATCACACCCTTTCTTGAATCATTGCACCCCTACTTGAATCACCACTTCTTCCGACATGGGGGGGCTGCCCCCCCCCCCCCAACCCCCCCGCTACGTTTTAGATTTTCTACAGAGATTTAATTAATTGCACCCCTAGTTGAATCATCAATTCTTCCAACCCCCCCGCTACTTTTTAGACTTTTTGCAGAGATTTAATTGCACCCCTGTTCGAATCATCACTACCCCGCTCTGTTTTTCTTAATTGTTTTTTTGTATTTTTTTTTGCTGGGATTGAAATGCCCTCCTGTTTGAAGCATCATTGTTTTGACCCCGTCAACCCGCCAGCTACATTTTTGGATTTTGTTACCCACGATTTGTTGGTGATGCTAGGGATGTTGGTCGGACATGCGGGGGATGTTGAAAACGATGCTGGGGATGTTGACGAGCTAGTGTAAAATGCGTCAATTTCGCGAGAAAATGCTGTAAAATACGACAATTCGCTGGCCCGGACGAAAAACGAAAAAAAAACCCAAAACAAAACGAAAAAAAATCCCAAAATAAATCCGCACCCCTGTAGCCATCCTTCAGGGGTTGGGGTTTCTTTGACTCTATGGTCAGGTTTGAGCAGGCATCTGTAGTGCCCGTCTTTGAGCGCGAGACACACTGGTTCCTTATGCTTCTTGCTGCCGCATTGCAACAGGTACCTTTGCCAGTAGGCCTCGTTGCTTTGCCACTTGAAGACTATTAGGTCTCTTTCCAGTTTTTCGGCTAGGGCCTGCAGTATCATGCCATCGGCATAGTAGCCTTTCTTTGCTGCCAAGGTGCAGTACTCCTGGAAGTTTTTTGGCGCCTCAGCTTGCCCCGCTCTTTGCTGCGGGGTCTCATTGGGGTCAGTCGCCCACTGCTCTCTGTAGCTGCGGTTGGACTTAAGTCTGCCCAGCGCCAGTACCCTTAGGTTGGCTGCCTCGTGTACAACTTTGCTTTCCTCCAGGGATTTGCCCGTTATCTGGGCAATGCTGAGGGCTATGCTCCTGAAAGCACAGTCCCCGACGCCGCCCCCATCTTTGAGGGTCCAGTCCGGCAGATCCTCCAGAAGCACCGTGTCCGGTTCCCTAAATGCCGGCATCTTTTTCTCCGCTCTTCTGGGTGATTTCTCTCTTTTGTCCTCATCCATATGTTGGGTGGTTTCCGTGGGGGTGTCCTCTACCGTGAGGGCCACTTGGCTGTGGCACCCATCCTTAGTCGGGTGTTCCTCCAAACTTTCATCTTCGGGCTTGGGGGGTCCGTCCGTCCATTTCTTTTGGGGTCCCTTTAACCTGACCACTTCCGGGTTGGCCCGCTTGCGCCCGTTTTCGGGGGAGAGCGTGACATGACACTCAGCGTCCTCATCCACGTAGTGCCAGAACACCTTGTCTTCCCCTGGGCTTGGTGGGGGGGTGGCTTTGAGCAGCCATTCTGGGCCTTGGCCTCTGACTTTGCCTTTTCGTCTGGTCAGGACGACCTCGGTCCAGTTCTCCTCTTTCAGGAAAACTTGGACATCCTCCTCGGTCCAGTGTCTTGGTCCGTCCCTTAAACACCAGATTTTCGTCCCGTTTTTGGGGTAGTCGGCCCGGTTCCCGTTGACCAGACCCAGGTCCGCCCCTCCACCTTGTCTCAAAGCAATAGGCAGCTGCTTCTGTGAAAGAAGTCCAGACATCAATGAGTTCCTCATCTAAACCAGGTGACTTTTTCCGCCGTACGATGAGCTGCTTGGCTTGGCAGTCATCGGTAAATTTAGGGTCTTTGCGGTACTGCTGGTATGATGGTTGACGCCGTTGGACGATCCGGAGACTTCGAGACAATATGTCAACGGAACGCACAGAGACACTGCGACGCGCTTCCTGAAAAATCAGATCAGCAAAGAGAAAGACTGATCAGTGCTCCAGTTGGCACACATGAGAGGGGTTTCATGGGAACCGAAGATGAGGAGACGGGGTCCTCGAAGATCATGACTCGTTCGCAGTCAGAACGGTGTCAGGGCGAAACTTAAACTAGGAAGAAGATCAGGAAAGTCAAAAGGCAAAAAAGGACTCGCCGACACACCCTTCCAAATCATCAACACAGACGGCAAGGCCAACGCGGCCAACGAACATTCGGTGAGTTGACTTTCATTGATCACTGTCAAGAACCCTCGTCGTGTTTGTCATGTTGGAGAGAGGCAACGTTTGTCACTGCGGACGGTGTTCAGGAACTATTTCGGCCAGCGCCGCTTGCCGCCAGAACAGTCGTCGGGGATCAGACCTTCATGACCGCGCGTGGGAACATTTCTATCAGCCCCTCGACATGACACAATCTTGTTGGGACGGAACACACATGGCCGAACCGAGTGGAAACAGAACAGCAGTACGACTCGCGAAGGCGCAGCAAGATCATGCTGAAGTCCACCAGACGAGGAAAAGCACCTGCTACGCTCAAAAAAGGGGCGCTTGTCAAGGCCGCTGCAACACTCAGAAATCAGACCATCACCTACGGGGGTGTAACATAAGTGGAGCTTGTATTCAGAAGAAGACCAGCAGATCTCACTCCTGCGGCACCGACCCAATTGTCCATCAACAAGACGGATGAGGAATTGACGGCAACTCGCACCGAGCAGTTGTCGCAACAGGCTTTTCAGGAAGCCCATCAGCCGGAAGACATCATAAGAGACCTTGCCATAGACACAGACCTTGCTGCTCTTGCTCCCAGCACGTATTCATACAACTAACTTCCCAGAAGCTCACTCATCACATCATCAGGGTTCCTGCTGAGAAACAGACCCAGAGACTGCTACCACAGTGTGTATCTCCTCCTCAGGTGCCCTGGTACGTAACACACCCCCTCCGTGGCACAAGGGCCATTGCAAATTTTCTCGCGGGAAACTGGCCCCAGAGCTCTTCCAGGCGCTTGGAACCGTGGCCTCTTGTGACCAACGGCCGCAAAATTCCTGCCAAAATGAGCGAAGCACTACCCACACCAACATCAAGAGTCAACTCCAAAATACACCCTACACACCCCGAATTACGTCAGGAAGACGAGTCGAAGTCGACACCTGGCCTGTTCGGGGGAGGATCTCGGCCTTCTAAAAGAAACGCCCCCGTGGTTTCAATTCTGGCGGGCAAGATGCTGATTCTGTCCCTGCGTGCCTCCTGAGGTGATCAGTGCAATTTTTTTGAAGGACACCTTGGACGCTGCGCAGAACGATGCGGAGCAGCTTGTTGTTGATAGGCCTCTTGCCCGCACCAGCAATTTCTGAATTGCGAGTTGGGTTTGACCATTGAGTTTGCCACGCAATGAGCAAAGGTTGAAGAAGAAGGCTCAGTATGTCCAGAAGCTGGAGGAAGTTTTCCGAGCGATTGATTCTTCCTCCGATGGCATGGTCACAGAGGAGAAATTGACGCAAGTCCTCTCAAATCCCAAAGTGGCAGCTTATTTCCAGACTCTCGACGTCGACGTCGTCGACAGCACTGCCGCTTTGGCGTTGACTTGTCACCTGAGGGGTGAACTGTCTAGGGTTTTTTCACCACGCAAAATCTTTTCCCAAGCCACAGGCTGAAGGGTGAAATTTGCTCAGCTTGTTCCAACGTGATGCTGCAAGTGCGCGAGGCTTTGTTTCACCTTCTCGACAATGGTGACGGAGAAATTACCTTGGACGAGTTCATAGAAGGCATATTGCGGTGCAAAGGTCATGCGCCTCGGCCGATGAAGGCTTTGGATGCACGCATCCTGGGGATTGAATCCGCCCAGCCGTGCTTGAGCAAAGCATGCGCATTGCTTTTGCAGATTGGCTAATCGGACGGAACCAACTTGCGAGTTTCATGCATATAACATCCATGACACGTTGCGCTCGTTGGCATGCCCTGACGAATTCTATGAGCGCATGCCTCAAGCCTGCGACGTCGCAAGCTGCCCCGACCATGGTCGGACCACCGCCTTCATTATTTTCCGTGGTCTATGTTTTGGACAAAACCGTCGCCCAGTTAAACCCAACACTATTTATTGTCTCTTGCCAGGACAGTTTGTTTTTCAAAGGGTATCCGGGACCAATAGCAAAAGCGCAGACGTTGTGACATTGTGTTTGCACAAAACCTTGGTGAGGCCCTCGCGACCATCCATACAAACCAACTTTTGATCAATACGCAAATATGTTCACAGTCGTTTTCTCGGTAGGAAAGGCATTCTTCAACATGTTTCTACATATGCATGCATACGGGCCCTCTAGGCGCGTAATTATTTTGGGGCAAAACGTCATCACATGGCTTGCCATAAGAGAAGAGTCTTGTGACTGCTCACCCTGCCACCATCCATGACATGACCATTTTGCGGATCTTGCTGTTTGAGCACAGTTGGGAAAAACTAGATGGCACGGGTCCCCCATTGTTTCCCTCCCAACACACATCAAATTCACTGCATTGATGGATTTGATGGAAGGCAGTGCCTCCGGCTTCTGGGGTGGTTTTTAAGCAAATGAAAGGGTTTACACAAAAAGGGAACTGCATGTACTTTGCGGAGGCAATCCTGGTTGGGGGCGTAGGCTCGCGTAGGCTTCAGCGCGTAGGCTGTTATGTCACCCCTCGCGTAGGCTTGTAGCGTAGGCGTTTGTTGAACAAATCATGACTGTTTGCCACGTATGACGGAATTTGCTTCTTTTGCCTTCCTTCTGTTTGTTCTGCAGTCTTCGCGTGGGCTCCGCGTAGGCCCTGCGTAGGCATTCGCGTAGGCTTTCAAGGCATTTTGGGTACGTATACTGTTTCTAGCAGCCAGATCCTTGGACAGATGTGGGATTCTCACTTGTACTGCATTTCTGGTCTTAGAGCCGGAGCTGCCAAAACTGCACTTGTACTGAGAAGTTGCGATTTTCCAGCTGGAGCTGCCACAGTGCACTTCGACACTTGAACTCAACATGTGCCCGCGTAGGCATCTGCGTAGGCACCTGGAAGCTGACTTGTGCTCGCATAGGTAGGCTTGCGTAGGCCTTCGCGTAAGCGTGCAAGTAGCGTATAGGCCAACAAAAACACTGCTCAGGTGGTGGCACCACTTCAGGGAGGTACGTTTCAACCGGACCGAGCCATTGTTGGCTTGCTTAGGGCAACCCACTCCGGTCATCTTTGAGTAGGAAGGGCTGCGCAGGAATGCGCCTCAAGCGTGTTTTCTGAGCAAATGTCTCTGAGCAAGTAAGCCTCCCAAATTCTCTGAGCAGCTTCCCTGTCTGAGTTTGTCTGCGCAAGTTCTCGGCTCAAACTTGTCCGCGTAAGTTATCGATGCAAGTTCTCTGCGCACGAGTTCTCAAATGAATATCTCTGTGAGAGTGCTCTGTGCAGGTGCTCTGCGCAGGTGCTCTGTGCAAGTGCTCTGGGGTGCCCTGTGCTATATCTCTCCAAGCGGTTCGGCGGAAGTTTTTCGCACGCGTCGCTCTCAATGCAACGGGCCGTTCTCCACGCAAGTGCCGCCACCAGTTGTTACCACGCCGATCCTTGCAGGGTTTCGCAGGCAAAACGTAAAGAAATCCGGAGCCTTTGCACATAAACCATGCCAGCATACTCCTGCAAGCGTGCTGGCAAGTTTGCTCGCGCAAGTGCGCTGGTGCGAGTTTGCTTGCGTGTGTTCCTGCAAGTGTGTTCGTGCGAGATCGTGCGAGTTTGCTCGTGCAAATGTGACCGTACAAGCGTGCTTGCGCAAGTGTGGTTTGCTCGCGCGAGTGTTTTCGTGCGAGTTTGTTCGTTCTTGTGTGCGCCTGCAGGTGTACGTGTGCAAGTGGGCGGGCGGTGTTTGCCTTCACCCAACTCACATTTCCAAGGGCCACCTCAAGATTTGGAAAAAAACGCAGAGGTTGCAACCCACGGTACGCGCAGTCAAGCCAATCTCGCAGGCACGGGCCATCGACCAGGTGGCCATGCGCTCGGAGCTGCGGCAGTTGGATGCGAAGCTTTCAAGGCGCGGACAACCCTTTTTTTTCCAGCGGATGTGGAAGCCCTGAGGAGATTCCAAGAAGTTTTGCTGGAGGAATGGCCACTTCTGGCAATGTTCATTCCTTGCACGTGCTGAAAGGCAGCGTGATTTGCAGTAGCCGGCGCCGTACCAACTCTGGACAGGAGCAAGCCTGGATTACTGCATGTCTGCAAGCATGAGTTCGCAGACACACCTTCATCCCAAGAGATGCATTTCAACATGCTGTTGTTTTTGCTTCTCCTTTCGCACAGCCTCCTTATCCCCCTTACATTCAGTTCGATGGCGTGATTGTGAGCACTGCGGTTCCCATGGGTTTCTTGACACTATGCGGGATCCCTTGTGTTCAGTGTTCTGGTTCTTCGGTTCTCTGCGAGGTTCCCTGCGTTTTGCCTGTACTGTCCGTGTTGACTATGGACATCTGCAGCAGGATGATTAAACCTGTTGTCTCGAGTGGTGAGGCTACTTGGCTATGACAGACGCCAAGGTACACGATCTAAAGACCTGGCTACATTTCCTTGCACATTCCAGGAGCTCAGATAGGTTCTTAGCGATGCGCGTGGCTGCCATTCACGCAATGCCAGGCTGAGCTTCCGCCTCAAGGAGGCAGGCATCATCAAGAGCAGCGGCAAAGCCAAGGTGAATGGCAGAATGATCAGCGCATAACGGCCTAACTTTCACTCGGCAAGCGGGGGCTGCAACCGAACAGAGTGCCTACTGGTCCAAAGCTCGAGTGAAGTTACGGTGTGTGGGTTCTTTTCGCCTCTTGCTTGCGCATGAGGGCTAGCAGGCCCCCTTTTGCCAGAAGGCAGCCACGGTGTCCTCAGACGAGGCACGAAGAAAGTGGCCGCAGTCATTCTGCAACCGTGTCATGTTGCAGGAGCCGTCCACGGACCACACAAAGTGTGAAATGTTTCCAGCGAGCGGCTTTCGACCAGACACTTCTGGCGATAGCTGTTGACGCGTGGCTCTTCTGGCGATGTTGCATACTCTAAGCATCTCTAAGCTCTAGTGGGTACCACCAGGATCCACCAGGTTGTTCTCATGCCGTAGCACAGGCTTCCCACAGCGCAGGGTTAACTATAATTGCTGGCCAGGGAGAGTTCAACAGAATCGCCTCCGGATTGACTGTTTCGATGCAGACCCCTTGTTAGACCCTGCTTGCTCCCACCCAGGTTCGCTTACATTGTTCGGCAGCTGAAGCCTTTAAAAAGAAGGGCCAGCTTTGAGTTTCAAGGGGATGGTACGCTACCAGGGCCTTAGCAAGGTGAGCAGGATCCCGGCTTGCCTCACTGTTGCTCGGGGGCCTTCACAAATCAGAAGTAAAAGCGCAGACTTGTGGGTAGCTGGCTGCGATTGGGCAAGCAAATCTGTTCAAGCTGCACGTGGAGCTGTTCTTTAACAGGCATAGGCACAGGCTGCCCGCCGTTTGAACCTGGCTCCCAGTTTCACCGTCAGAAGCTTTGAATGGCTGGGGCCATGCTCAACCGCATTCAGTTGCGATGAGGTCGTAAGATTGCCCCTTATGCAAAATCCCATGGAACTCCAACCACTTTTCAAGGGCCCGGATCGGAATGTAGTTGTCACAGAGGTGTGGTGGAGGAATGGTCAGAGCAGGTAGCTGACAGTGGAGCGATGGGCCCTGTCATCCTTGTCCTTGAAGCTTATGTGCAAGAAAAAACTTGCGATTCGGGAGGCGGCGCGAGGGGGGCATTGCAACCTGACTGCTTGTGAATTCACAAAGCGCAAGTAAACCAACACGCACACGGATCCGCCTCACAGAATCAGACACCGCTTAAGCCCTCACAACTAGCTTGACTGCAAGCAATGAATGCATGGAGGTGTCCCTTACAATCTTTTGCGCGCGTCTAGCTCCTGGGCCCACTTGTCTAGGAGGGGGACATCCCAAAACAACTGCATTTTCCCTCGTCCTTTGGAGACTGCCTCACTTCAATTGGGGCGGCAGAGAAAAAGGAAGTAGAGCCTTCCGCCACCCTTGCCTTTTTGCCGCCCAGAGGGAAAAAGCAAGGCGACATTTTGGGTTTGCCCACCGAACCCACCTTAAGCTCGGTTATTTGTTTATGAATGACACGAGAAATGATCGGCGAGGGGAACCTTAGTATCTGACAGCACCAAGCGAGCGGTTCAGTTCCGCAGTGCGTTGGCCCAAGCAGAAGGCAAATCAGGCACGCAATTGATGGGCATGCGACAAGCCAAAACCATATCATAAATAAAGATCTCCATCAGTGGAGCAAGCTTGCATGAGCTCTGAACCCTTTCGACACTTTGCTATAGTTGGAGGGTGAAGGCACCTATCCGTGAGCAGTTTTTCATGCCTTAACCGGCTTGCAAGGGCTAAACCCCTTCCCTCTTGCCACATGACCTATATCTGAGCTTTCAACCACAAGACCGAAGGACCGCCAATGCGCCGTGCAGGCTGCAGCACGTTGCTGGTTCTGGGGGGGGTTCTTGACGCCCTCCAAGAACGACCAAGAATGTCTTTCAGCAATCGCGTCTTTTCAAAAGCAGCCGCGGCCAAGCAAGAAAGGCCTAGGCCTGTCACATTGCAATCTGAAAGGAACCCCACTGGCAAGCAATTTTCAACGCGCTTTCATGTGCCACTTCTTCCTGAGCCACCGCCGCCAGCACCGTTGCCGCAAACCTTTACTGTATCCACCACGCCTACCGACTGGTAAGCACACCCGCTCAAGCTCGCCTGGCACTGTCCGCCAAGAAGTAGCACGTTCGCTCAAGCGCGTCGGTTTACCACTGCATCCACAAGGATCCCGCTCAAATGCGCCTACTCTGCACATACGCCTGCCAAAAGACAAATTATACCCGTGCAAGTGCGCCCGCTCAGCATTGTATCCGTGCCTGCTTTTTAATCCACTGACTGCTGCTGACCTCACAGGCCAACATGGGCCTCTATTTGACTATGCGGTCGACCTTTGTAGTGACCGTGCTTAGACTATCCTGGGCACAATAAACCCCCCCGGGCGCGTATAGCAAAAACATCCTGCACGGAGTGGGGACATGCATTTGCTCACGCAATTGGCCTTCGACGCCAGTAGCCCGCGCTGGCTTTCACCATGCAAGGCTGGAAACGGCTGAGCGCGATTCTGTAATTGGGCTTGCCCAATATGAGCAGCATGATCTCTGGCTTGAGCAGCGCAAGCATTGCCCCTCGTTCTTGCAGCGTGGGTTTGGGCCGGCTGCATGTGTACGTTTTGGGGCAGCCGGCAAGGGATCTGGAGGAAGCGGTGCACGTAGAGAGAATATGTCATCTTGCTGCCTCCGAGGCGGCACCACAACCTATTTCATTTGTTATAGTGAGTATCAATCAGTTAGCACACGGCATTCCAACGTTGAGTGCTAACTGTTTGGGCGCTTGCGCAGCGTTTTTTCCCAAGCCGTGGTTGAGGCCCAACAGTTAGCACTCCAACTAGTCTGGCAGTCGGATTGTTCAAGGTCTTTGAAATAAGGCTTGGCATCAAAATAGCTTTACATGGGCATTGGAAGGAAGGACGGAAGGAAGCACGGAAGCGAAGGAAGCGAAGGAAGCAAAGGAAGCAAAGGAAGCAAAGGAAAGGAAGGAAGGAAGGAAAGGAAGGAAGGAAGGAAGGAAGGAAGGAAGGAAGCAAGGAAGCAAGGAAGCAAGGAAGCAAGGAAGCAAGGAAGCAAGGAAGCAAGGAAGCAAGCAAGGAAGCAAGGAAGCAAGGAAGCAAGGAAGCAAGGAAGCAAGGAAGCAAGGAAGCAAGGAAGCAAGGAAGGAAGCAAGGAAGCAAGGAAGCAAGGAAGCAAGGAAGCAAGGAAGCAAGGAAGCAAGGAAGCAAGGGAAGCAAGGGAAGCAAGGGAAGCAAGGGAAGCAAAGGAAGCAAAGGAAGCAAAGGAAGCAAAGGAAGCAAAGGAAGCAAAGGAAGCAAAAGCAAAAGACGCAAAGGAAGCAAAGGAAGCAAAGGAAGCAAAGGAAGCAAAGGAAGCAAAGGAAGGAAGGAAGGAAGGAAGGAAGGAAGGAAGGAAGGAAGGAAGGAAGGAAGGAAGGAAGGAAGGAAGGCAGGACGAGACTCAGAGCTGCGCAGGGTGCTGCAGAGTTGCGCAGGGTGCTGTTGCAGGTTGCCATGCCAGAATCATCATTACTTCGAAACATCCTGGGGGGGGGGTGCCGCAGTTGCGCCGATGGATGCACCTAAGGGAGAAGCGCGCCCTTCGCCGAATAATGGGGGTGCATGCCACGCACTAAAACTGCTGCGTTGCCATTTCAGTGAGGGGCAAAGACTGTAGTTAGGAGGAGCGCATTGGTGATCCAAAGAGTCCTGGCTCACACCAGCTGAGAAGGCGCTAGGGTCTGGCGTGTGCTAACTGTAAGTCAGACGTTTGGCCGGGGTCCCGAGCGTGTCTGCTTGGCAAAAACTGTAGGAGAAGCGCGTTGGCAAGCGTGATGCGAACACTCCTGGCTGACACGGCCAAAGGAGGCGCAAGCGGGTCTGGCGTGTGCTAACTGTATCGCACCCGTGCTCGCCCCAAGTGGGATCCCGAGCGGGCTAGCGAGCCTGGCCGTGTTGGTCCTTTCAGCCGCCTTCGAGTTGCATCCATAGTAGTTGGCCCGAGTGGTCCTTATCTGCGCCTTGGCGCCACGCACGTGTTATCCCGACTGTTGGTCCTCACCAGCTCCTTTGCGCAGCGTCTGTGCTCGGCCCGAGCAGGATCCCAAGCCTCTCTGCGCGGCAAAACTTCGAGCGTGTTTGTGGGCTTTCAAGAGTAAAGCCAGAGCACGGTGTTTTTAAACAGGATGATGGACTTGTCTTTTCTCGCGGGTAAAGCTTCCATACGGTGTCCTAGCCCAGCTTGAGTTCGGGACTAATGCGTTTGCGTGCAACATGATGCAACACTCGGACAAAGCAAGCTTCTTCATAATGTCAGTCGTTTACTACGGGCGCGCTTTCAAGTCGCAGGAGGCATTGCTTTAGCTGTGGAGAAGCAGGCTTTTAGGGGCGCAGTTGGTCTGGCGTGTGCTAACTGAATGGCTTACGCAAGAGTGACGCCTTTGCGTGGCATCCGCGTTTGCCCCGAGCCGGATCCCGAGCGGGAACCCGAGCGTGGCTTCGCTTGCCTTTGCAAGGCCCGAGCGGGATCCCGAGCGGGCTAGCGAGCCTGGCCGCTTTGGTCCTTGCAGGCGCCTGCGCGTTGCATTACACTCCCGAGCGTGACGGTGTTGGTCCTTATCTGCGCCTTGGCACGGGTTTTGGCCCGAGCGGGATCCCGAGCGTGGCTGCTTTGGTCCTTACCAGCGCCTTTGCGCGGCATCTGTGCTCGGCCCGAGCGGGATCCCAAGCCTGTTTGCGGGCGCGGCCCCGGCAAAACTTCGAGCGTATTTGTGGGCTTTGAAGAGTAAAATCGGAGCACGGTGCTTCGTCTCTTTCTTGCGGGTAAAGCTTTTACACGGGCCCAACTGTCCGCTGCGATAATGCGTTTGCGTTTGCATGCAACATGATGCAACACTCGGACAACGCGAGCTTCTTGATGATGTCGTTGATTTTTGCTACGGGCGTCCTTTCAAGTCGCAAGAAGCATTGCTTTAGGGGTGGAGTTGCCAGGCTTTTATAGGGGCCCGTTGTTTGTGAATCCCAAAGCCAAATTCAATTGTCAAGACAGCTATTGCAGTAGAGAAGCGGGTTGGCAGGCGTGATGCAAAGAGCCCTAGCTGACAC